CCCCCCACCTGCGTGGCAACGGCGCGCCTGGGTGTTGCCTGGGCTCGTGGAGACGCCGAGAAGCTCCTTGTCGCCCTATACGGCACCTCCGCGAGATGCAGCAACATTTTTTTCCCCTCAGCTGGTCTCTGTCGCTGGCTTCTTCTCGATTACAATGGATGCCCATCGCAATTCTTTTTTTCTGCTAGCGCCTTTTACGGCACTAAGCAACTTGAGTCGGTCTTTCTGTTTGGGTTTTACGAGGTGTCCACCATTCTCGTACAAAGAATAATGACTTCGCAAGGTATTCACGCTTATCACTCATGAATCTACCCAGATGTGTAAGAATGGTACGCACTTCTGGTCTTCTTCGGCTATGAGCAATGCAGGTGGAAACTGCTGTCTTGGAGTTCCAGACGGCTGCGCTCACCACACTTGATGAGATGGTTGCCGTCCTCCTTCCGAAAAAAAGTTTGTATAAACGCTGCGCTATGGGATAATAGCGACCGGTTCTTTCTAAAACAAGCTTTCGTCCCCGCGAGACGCCCAAATGTGGTTGCAGATGATGACATAGAATACATAGCGTAATTCCCACAAACAACATACATTTTTCACATGTCATACACGTTTTTTTCTTGTTCGAAAAGCGCATGGCCTGCCGATGGTGAAAAGTGATGTTTCCGCCGCGATGATTTGCATCCCCCCCGCGGCCCCGCAGAGGCAGCCCGGNGGCGCAATGGCGTTGTCAGGGTTCCTTCTGCCGAAGGCTGTGCGGGTTGGATTTGCCACGCCCTGGGGCAGGAGCCCGTTTGCCCCTAAGAAAGGGACCGGTCCCCTTCTCGATTAATTCTGCTGTTGCGGATGGTGGCGATTTGAAGTGCGCAATATACCTTCCCGAGCCGGCAGCAGTTGTGTTGAAGCGGCGTGTGAATATATGTGGAAAGCGCTTGGCCTGCCGATGGTGAAAAGTGATGTTTCCGCCGCGATGATTTGCATCCCCCCCGCGGCCCCGCAGAGGCAGCCCGGTTTGGAAAACGCCTGGCGCTTCCAGCCACTGCAGGCAGCCCGGAAACCCCGAGCTCGACGCACACGGTCCAGTGTTCCGTTGTCCTTGCCCCGCGTGTGGGCTCCTGCTTCCGCCGCGGTCGGGGGGAGGGGTGTATGGCAGATTGCTCTGCCCACCAACGGCTTCCAGGTGGCTTGAATTTGTTGTGTTTTTTTAGGGGGGGCTGTTGCGGAGGCCAAGCCCTACTGCGCTGCGTGCTGCATACACGACGGTGCTGCCGTTTAATGTGGCGCGAGGCGTCGGGGAGGGTGTTCGTGTGCCCGTGTAGAAGAGGCACACACGCAGCGTCACAAGTGGTGCCGTGAGACGCCTGGCACGCTGGTGGGGGAAGGGGGGGGGCCGCGTGGCCGCCACCACCACCGAAGGCGCATATTTGTGCTGCGATGGGGCTGGCGCACCAGCGGAGATGTGTGTGTCGAGTGGGACTGCCTGGCGCACGGACGTCTGAAGGGGATTGGTTTCATTCATCTCGGCGTGCTGACCCCGACACGCTCACCCCGGGAGGGGGCTTGGGATGGTCTGTATTGTCCTACCCATGCTGAAGCCGACGTACCGCAAAGAATATCCTTGGTGCTCCTTCAGGAGCGTACGAGTGGTGTCGCATTTATGTTGTTTCATACCCCTTTCGGGCGCTGTGTGCATTACTGGGGATTACAGCGTAAAAGATAATTTACTTCAGCACTGTGGTGTTTGTGTTGCCTGCACTTCCATCTGTAAGAGCAGTCACTGTTGTAAAATTGTACGACAGTCTCTCTCTGTGTGTGTGCTGTGGCTTCTTTGTTTGTTGACGTGCTACGCACATTGTCGTGTAGGGTTTTTGTTGTACTGAAATGCCGGGAGGAGTTGGCGCGCCGACTGGGCATCAGCTGTCCTTTTTTTTTTGCTGATGAGGTGGCCAGTGTAGTTAAGGAAATTCACTGTGTGACCTTCGTGTCATCTTTTTGGTGGGCGTTCAATAATATTCGTAGTAATGTGCGCCGGAACGTTTGGTACTTTTTTTTTTNCTGTTCGCTTCTTGAACACCCTCTAAGCCGCCTTTTCCCCGCAGCCATGTTTGGAAGGGGTTTGGCTTCGAGTCACTCATGGCGGTCCTTGGTTCTCTTTTTTGGATTTTAATGACGGCAGGTTGCTGGTGAAGAAAGAGGGCCAGACTCGGAATGGCGCCTTTGACTTGGGGGGTTTCCATCCTTTTCTTTTTATGGCTGTCTTTTTTTTGTTGCCAAGGAACAGAGGCACAGTTTCGACGGGTCGCCAAGCAATTCTGAGGGCTGTCCTCGGTTGTTTTTTTTTTTTTACTTCAGCAAGTGCAGGGGCTGAGCCGGCCGGAGTGGCACTATTTCACATGTTGGAGGATCTAGCGTTTGCAGGTCGGGATTTGGAGGGACCGCCAAGCTTCGAGTCCATGCTCTCGGAGTTGCTGCTCACCGAGCTTCGGCGCCAAGGTGTGTCGCAGAGTGCCCAGCTTGTTGGCGGCATCATGCAACGGGTGCGTGTTGACTGTGCCGCAGACTCCTCGGCTTCGCCCACGTGTGCCCATCTGGCGTTGGATGCATTGAGCCTCGGCGATAGGGAGGCCATTGCGGTAGTGGAGGCGCTGCTGAAGCTCGGCTCCCCGGCAATGCTCAAGGCACACGGTGTGGTCAGCTGGACGCTTGCGCTGGATGGTAACTCTCTGACGGACAGAGCGGCGGCCCATCTGTCGCTGCTCGTCTCGCGCTGCGCCCCACCGTTGGCATTGCTTGACGCGCGTGGCAATGGACTGACGGCTGCTGCCATGCGGCGTGTGGAGGGGGCCCGTGCACT